CCTGGAAGACGACCGGGTCCGTGTGACTCCTCGCCCTCGCCAGGTCCTGGTAAGAACGGCCCCAGAGCGCCGTAGATCTTGCCATATTCTGCCGCGCATGCCCTCTTATGCTCCTCGAGTTCTTGATCACGTCCAGCAGCGCCTGTGGGTCCTTGAACGGGTCACTCGCCGGCTGCGGGGGCGCCAGCGACAACTTCTCGAACCCGTCCAGCTCGAACATTCGTTTCTGGCGGTCCTCCTCCACCGATGCGTCGAATATCGTCATGTCCCCCGCAGGTCGCGCGTTCGCGTCGTTTGGTCCCGCTCCAGGTCGTCTCGCCGCGGCCTTGGCCTGTTCTGCGGCTTCGCGCCTCTTCCTCATGGCGTTTTCGAAGTGCTGCCTCGCCTCGGCCTCGTCCCAGCACCCCATGCTTTTCAACCGGGCCACCCATCGTGTGTCGTCGTAGACCATCTCCTGCATGCGCCAGGAGCACCGCGCAACGCGCATGAGGTCGGAAACGGGGAGGTAGTCGAGAATGGCGACGAGAATCTCTGCTGTCGTCAGTGCGAGTCCCTCTCGGATCGGAAGGTCGGGGCTCCTAACCCGCGGGGAGGGTCGGCTTGGAACCCAGCATCTCCGTCGCCTTCAAGGCACTGAGGATGCTGGTCCGCTGAGGGGGACCCCCCCTGCCCTTGGCCTTGTACATTGCTGTTGGACGGCGGCCAGCCGCAGGTGGTTGTGGAATCGAGGCGCTGCGTATGATGGAAGGAAATCAGGTGGTCCTCGGACTATGCCATGTCCGGAGCTTAGGACTTGTTTTCAGGGAGGTTGCCTCCTAATTGGCGACACGTTGGGGATGTTGGATGCAGGTCAGCACTATGAAGGTGCTTGGACAGGAACGATACGAACTCGAAGCCCAGCCCAGAACGTCACAGCGCGAGCTGTCGAGCAATGGCGTTGCGGGGAACACCCCACACCGGCTGATGCCGGCTGGCGACCAGCCTCCAAGGTTAACATCAGCTACGACCCTGAACCACCTTGACCACTCCCCCTGAAAGGATAATCCTTGATTTCCAAAAGCAACGTGTGCTTGAAATGTCACTGCAAGACACTACCGCAAAATTGAAAGCTCCCATATCGGAAGACGTCCGCCTTGAACCCGAACTCTCTGTTGCAACCAAACTAAGGGGTATCTTGATATGTAGGTACTACGAACTCATGTTTCGAGCTGGCTGGCGTTCTCCACCATCCGCCGCGACTCGGCTGCCTCGGCCGCCAGGAGATTCATGACTGCCGGGTTCTCTCTTCGCTCTTCTCGCGACTCCGAGTTTGCCGCTCTTGCGACGTGTCCAAATAGACATTCCCAGAGGTCTTCCTTATCAACCGCCTCCCCGGCACTTCGGTCTTTGCTCATCAGTTTCGAGAGACTTGCATTTTCCATCTCGAAGGTGTTCGCAGCTTCGAGCGTCGGTTCCAACACGTCGGGGGTGGTTTCTTTGGATTTTCCCTTGGTGACGGAGCTCAGATGCTGGAGGCGTCTCTTGACCGAAAGATTGTAAATGGACTCTTCCACGGTGCCTTCGACGAGGTACAGCCAGACCGTTGTTTCGTGCTGTTGACCTATCCGATCCACACGAGCAATGGCCTGTAATTCTATCGCTGTGTTCAGTAGCGGCTCGCATAGGAAGACGTGGCTGGCGTTCACGAGATTAAGGCCGCTTGACTGGGCCCGTCCATGAAGCAGGAAGCATTCCATGCCCGCATCTTCTTTGAAACGCTGGACCCCATTGGGCTTGTCGATCGACGTGTAGCCGATCCGAGATCGAGACAGTGCGGACCCTATGACTTGTAGGAAGTCTCGATATCTTTTGCGTGGTCAGTGACTGTGCCAAGAGGGGTGGGCCTCAACTCTTACTGGGAGAAAACAATGGATTTGGCCCCAGGATCAGATTCTCGGAGCCAGAGCAGGTGTCGAACAATGGAATCAACCTTTGTGGTCAAGGGTGGGCCTTCCAAGTCAACGTCTCTGATCTGGGCCAGCTTGTCCGCGCCAAATTCCGAGTAAATGGCTGATTTGTTGCGGGCTGTGCTGCGTTTCTTTCCTGGTGTGGACATTGTAACATCTTCGGTATGGAGAGTCAATTCTCTTGGCTTAAGTGTAATGGTGTGGAGATCGGTGATCTTGAGCTTTCGTTTGCACATGGGACAGTTGTGGTGCGCTTTGAACCAGAGCATGAGGCAATGCTTGCAGAATTGATGACCACAAACAGTGAGAACCCCGATTGTGAAGTCTGTTTGACAAATGATGCACATCTTCGGCTCATTGGCTTTTGATGCTCCGCCGTCTCGGAGGCTGACAACTATATAGATAATTGTGTCAGTGTATGTAAATCCAGAATAAAGGTAGGGATACGAGGGATACTAGCGTAAAGACCGTCGCTGTGAGCTAACCGTACAAGGAGCTGACTTACGATATCGGTGCTTCGCTTCTGCGGATGAGAGCTTGCGGTGAGCAGTCTCTGCAGCATTTGCCCATTTCGTCAAGACGTCTTGCGTCTTTGGCCCTTCATAAACATCAACGCTGTCGGATATGGCCTGCAGTTGACGATAGTAGTCCAGTCGAAGGTTCATGGCGTTGGTGAACTCGTCGCATTCCCGTTCCAGACGTTGAGAAGCTTTCGTCTGGGCTTGTATCTGGGCCTGAATATCCTTGATCTGCCTGTTCACCACTGCATGCTCCATGTTTGCTCTGCTTTCCTTCCCAGGCTCATGCGGCGGGAGCCTAGCGGCGAGAGCACGTAGTTCGCCAATCGCGCCGCGCAGACACCCATGCTTCTCTAGTGATGGTTTGACTTTGTTTCGCACGTCAAGCAGCTCAATCAATGTCTTTGGTGCAGGACCCTCGCCGTCCATGGCCAGTGCCTTTGTTGTTTGAGTCTCGTGCTTGACAAGCAGATTCTGGAGGCCAGAGATGGCATCTTGTCGATCCGCTATGGTGGCTCGAAGCACTTGAACATGAACCATCAGTTGCTCTTGTATTGCCGTGGAATTGACAAGCTCGTCGCCTGTTGTTTCTGTTTCGTTTTCTTCGTCCACAAGAGGTTGCAAGAGAAGACCAACGATCACTTCTCTCCATTCGTCGATGAGATTTGCTTGCAAGTTCAAGAAGCCATAAAGTTCCTCGACCTTTTCCACCACTGCGGCGCTTTCCAAACCCTTGACTGGGTTCGGGATCAGCTCTGGGATTGTAACGAAGTTCTGCGACGCAGCATCATTCCCTAGCTTCCGCATTGCTTTCGTGGCCTTCTTGTGGTTCTATTCAAAGGTATCAGTGTGCCTGCCAGAAATTGAATTCCATATTGCCTTACCTCTGACAAAATCTCTCGTCGTACACCTTTTGCCGTTTCGTAGCCTTCTTCTTCCAACTTCTGCAGTGCAGAGAACTCGGCAGAGTCAGGCTCAGTAAAGTCCGGGTTGGACTTGATCTGAAAACGCGCATTTGCGCAGAAGAATATGGCTCGGTGCTGGACCTCCAAAGCTGATCGAAGACGCATGAGAGCCTCGCCGACCTCAGGGCTAGCTTGGTACCTAAATTGTCGTCAGCTGTGTACTGCGCTCGACCAGGTCTAAGACGTACTCGTCCAGTCCTTCTATAACATCTTCATCAGGAGTGCCATTCGTGTTGGGCGCGGCCCCATTCTCAGAGTTGGTCCGTTTAGCAGCGTTCATCGCAGCATCGAGCTCCTGCCGGCACCTCCCAACCACTTCTTCAACTTCACGCCTCGTTTGGTTCCAGATCGCCAAAGCTTCCTTGACGAGAGGACCGTTTTCGAGCAGTTGACCATGGTTGAGTCTAGCGGTGAAGTACGCTCGTTGTTCGGTTCGAATCGAAGCGTCACTCTGCTCAATCATGGCAGTCAACACTTCGTCAACGGTGCGGAGGGGACCTGCTCTGTGGCCCAAAGCGCGGCGGTTCTGAACGCCGACTTCGGGATGCAGCGCTGCCTGTCTCAAGCGATTCAGATAAGTCCTCATGGCTTCCTCATAGCTCTTGGGATCCCAGTCGGCCAGCATAGGATTTCCATCCAGATCGACATTGCACACCTCGGCCATCTCGGCAAAGATTGATTGATAATGCTGTTCTTCAACGGCGGTAAAGGGCAGCGTAATGACGAATCGCTTTTGAGCCGGGAGTTCCAGTTCGTCTCTGACGAGTTTCTTCGTGTGCCGTATCGCAATGTCATGGAAGAGATCATGAAACAGCGGCTTGTGATTCTTGGTCAACGCTTTCCAAACTTGAGGAGATGAGCAATAAGGCTCGAATCGTAGGAAGAGTAAAAGACCTAACAGGTCTTGCACATCTTTCTTCACAGGTGTACCTGTCACTCCCCATGCGTTAACGCGATGCAAGACGCGTGCCACCAGGGCAGCCGCGCTAACGCCTGTCTCGATCATCTGCGCCTCGTCAAGACACACCCTCCACCACGAGATCTGAGTGAGGGGCGATTTGGGGCGCTCGTATTCGCGTTCTCTTCGCCTCGATCTCTCTGGTGGTTTGGTTGCGTAGTGGATTTCGGCGGTAAGCGTCCTGTAGGTAGTAACAATGACATCGTGAGCCGCCATGTTTCGGAACACCTCCTCTTCAGATTGGTTACGAAATTGAGCTCGACCAGGATAGTAGCTGACGAGCAGATGGGGGGCATGGCGTTCGAGCTCATCCATCCACTGCTGTCTCAGAGACTCGGGGCAAACAATCAGCGTAGCTCCGCTCTTGAGGAGTCTCTCGTTGTTGACATTGAGGTACGAATCCTCGTCCGCGGGTGGACGCCTGTGGAGCAGAATCAATCCAATGATTTCGAGAGTCTTACCGAGACCCATCTCCTCTGAAAGGATACCCCCTCTAACCTCCTTCTCGGCGCTCAAGAAGGCTGAGGGCTCGGGACTTATTGCATGGTACAAATGACTGAGATACCACTGCACGTTGCCGGAGCTTGCAATCTCCCCAAAACTGCGGGCGGGTTGCAAAGTCACAGGGTCCTCTACGCTCTTCAAGCCCGCTGCTGACCCGTCGGAAGGAGGCACCCAACGCATGCCCTCACGATGCAGTAGCCATTTCAAAGTCCTCTTCTGGTAGGGGTAGAGTGACGCGTTAAGACCTGGTACTTCGATAGCCAACGCAGATCCATCTGTCACTGGAGGAACGAAGGCAGCTTCGTAGAAATCCAAGGGTGTCCACGTCGTTTCTGCGGCCTGGGTTGTCGTTGTTGTTGTCTCCTCATCGTTGAAAAACGTTGATAGAACCATCTGACTGATTTCCCGTTGACGAGGCGTACGCAGTCGGAAGGGAGAGAAGGTCGCGTTCCAGTATAGCTCGAGATCGAACACGATCAGTACATTTTTACCCTGTCGTTCGATCCGAAGGCTGACAGTTGTCCAGAGTGCGCCCTCATCAACTTTTGATTCTTTGCTGTGGATGTTTATGCACGCTTCCAACGCATGACTGACAGAATCAGGGCGTAGGGCGAGAGCGGCTCGGCCTGTGATTCCAGCGGATGGCACCGACAGCTTCAGTTGCTTTGAGGACCACTGGCTGCTCACGTACGATAGCTGCAGGTGGCTGCCGACATCATTTCGAATTGCTGGCTCCTGTAGATCCAGGGTCTCCGCAGCCCGCCTACATATGGAAAGTGTTTGCCGTGTGATGAGATAGGCTGGAAATGGGTTGTCACGAGACAGCTTTGCTCGTTTCGAGGCCGGTTCATGTAAGGCGTCATTGCCGTCGGAAGTGGCAAGGGCCACCAAGGCCTCAATCAAAGCGGAAGGGATTTCATCTACAAATCAGGCATCAACATTCAATCTAACTGAATTGGCAGACTGTATCAAATTACCATTCAGGTCAACCAAAGGAAACGGCTTGGGAAGTCGGACGTTTGACTTTGAAGCTGGCATCACAGCGTCGTGGGGGTGTGTGTGCGCACAGCCGTAGAGACAGGGGACGCGTCAACACTAGACATGTTACGGGACCGTTTCGTTAACTTTTGTCGGCGGAGGACCCCTTTCTATATCACTTGACTAGAAGGATGAGGTGAATGGCATGAAAAGTCGTTCTTCATTCTTCCTTCACAAGGCAGCTACGAGGCTGTTGGCTGCCTTCTCTTATCGATAACATCTGTCACCAACGCGCCGAGGCGCAAATACAACATCTGGCTCCTGTAGTGGCGTCACTAGGTGGGTCACTTCACCGAACTGACCGACCGAGAAGCTGGGCGCGAACCAAGCGCGTTCCCTGGTCGTCTGCACTTGGTTCGGAAAGCGGGTTCTCTCAGTCCCGTGCTGCTTACATAATTCAACTTTTCAATCCGATCTGCAAATTCCCAGAGGTTGAAGGTATCCTCAGCTTGACAGGCGTTACGATCATAATCCACCTCCGCTCCGCCTTCCTCGACCACCCTTTCGCGGCATTTCATCGCAAATTACCTTACTTCAGGAGCAAATTCAGCAGCCAAAGCGAGCTGGTGCGCCCTCTGCGGTTCATCTGCTGACACTCAACCGCCAGTCTCCCTGGACGCATATCTGACCTATCCACGCGACATCAGATCCACGATGAAGGCTCCTCAGCTTCGAATCCCGCCCCTGAGCGCAATTGCTCCGCGGGTTTCCACAGTCAACACCTGCCAACTACGATGGGCCTCTAAACGAGCAACGCCGGCAATTCCCCAGCCTGTCCCTCTCGTCCCCGACGTCCCGACGCTCCTGAAGGTCCTCGGCCGCGGCCTCAGCCAATACGCCGAGAAGTTTCCCACGTGGAACTCCCTCTTCACCTCCGACTCGACGCAGATGAAGGAACTGGGCATCGAGCCGCCACGCACCCGCCGCTACCTCCTCGCCTGGCTCGAGCGCTACAGGCAGGGCGCCCTCGGCCCCGGCGGAGACTTCAAGCACGTTGAGAATGGCGAGGCGTATCTCCAGGTCGCGACCACCGAGGCACAAGACAGAAAGTGGGTCATCAACGTCCCGGCGGGCCAGAAGGCGGACGGCGCCGTACAGGGCCCGGACGAGCGCGTTCGAGGGTACCAGGTGCGCGGCGCCAGTGCCATCACGGGCCCCTATGCGCTACCCCTGAAGGCCGGTGACGGCGCAAAGGTGCAGGTCGTCGAGGGCATGTGGGAGCATAGACAAGGTATCAAGGTGGATGGTGGTGAGAGGAGGAGGACCGAGGTCCGTTACAAGAAGCGCATCGCCCAGCGCAAGGCGGAGATTGAGGCCAGCCGAAGGGGTTGAGCCGTGTGTAGAGATGGACTGTACCATAACCTTGTCACTATGTAAAATACCAGGCCTGGGGTCACCGGCATATCACCTTGAACATCTCTGCTGTCTCGAATCCACCACTGACTTGATCACTGACTGCGGGAGGCTGGCGTGTAGGAGCTTATCTGTCTTCCTCCCTGTAACAAGTACCCGATCAGAACCTATACTGTAGGTCTTGCTATGCCAGCATTCACCATCCTGGCTCTTAACCCAACAAGAATCAGGTTCTGTGTATTCTTACCTTGAGAAAGAGGATTTCGGTATTATTGGATCGACAGAAGTGTGTTATGTGGCAGGGCTATGTTGCTCCAGGCTTCCTTCATCGGGAGCCCCTTTGGTGTCCTCTTGGTCAATCCCGAGCTTAGCTATGGCGAACATTGGTCACACAGGCTTTCCACAACAGCCCCCAAACCAATACTCTGTGATGGGTATCTCAAGAATCTCCCGACGGGTAACACGGTCAATGTCGAAGACTAAGCTTGTGAATGGGTCCATTCCCTGGTTGCGAGCAGCAGCTTGCGTCTTTCACCTGCGACTATGATTCAACAGATACGGAAGCCCCGAGGCCACTTCAGTCCTGGACCTTTGTTTGGTCCATCTTCTGACATGATACCTACGCCTGATGCATGAGATGTCAGAGCTGAACCCTTCAGTCCCATAGACTGCCCTCCAATCTCAACAAGAAGGTGGGGTCGATTAGGGGGCCGGATGTTCAAGCCGCCGGCTGTTGCCACGTTTGCGATCCTTCAACGCGCTCTAAATCCAGTGCCCGAGATCAAATGCCTCGCCTCTCGCTAAGCCAACAAGGCGCAACACCTTAGGCTCCGGCATTTCCGGGAGCAGGCTTCCGCGGAGAGTCACACGGACGGTGCCCAGAACTGGCAACACCCTCTTTGACCGTCAGGAAGCTTCGAGGCACGTCACAAACGAGGTAGCCAGGGTACAGGAACGAGTTGCTGCGCTCTGTCACCAATCAGGTGCCATAATGACAATACATAGGCCTCGGCAGGCGCGTCGGACAAACATTGAAGTTGCTTACGGGCTGTGGCCAGACCGGGCAAGCGAGACCTTGCATTGGCAAGCGCAGCAGTTCGAAATGAGAGGGTGACGGGCATCCATGCGAGGCGAGCATGGAGGATTGCGTGGTTGTTGTAGCCTTGGACCTTGGATTCTAGGACTTGACTCGTTGTATAGCTCGATTGGATGTCAGGCAGAGAGCCGAGAACGAACGTCAACTCCGGCCCCGGCGCAGTGGTGTCGCTGAGTGGGGCCGACGCCGCCGGTATCTCACAAGCCTCTCCTGTGCGTATGGGACGTTTGATCCTACCAGAAGACGATCAAAACCTCCATCTTCGGGCCTTTCTTTGCTAACGGGCCGATTGTGTAACACTTTAAAGCTTAAACCAACGACGAGAAGGCACGAAGAAGGGCCTTGCGGCGCCACGAGCGTGTGTGATGTGTGTATCGGTCAGCTTGACTAAGGCCCGTCCATCTGGTAGAGCTCCGGAGGATGAGGGCCAGCGCCAGGGGTAAGCAGGGTCGCGTGGTGGCTGACTGCCTCCTGCAGCCTGCTGTGACAGCGGCTGCAGCGGGAGCCATGCTGTTGTGAACCACAGTCCATCCTGGCTACATTGGTAGGCGTTGGGTGTCATCCATCCACTGGCGGCATCAGCCTGGGCGTTGGAATGGCCAGAAGAATGAGCTTGGGGTTCTTGGGCGTTTGCACTGGTCGAATCTAGGTGTCGAGAGCCTTGCCTTGTCTCTGATCAGATACTGAATGGCTCCGATCCGTAAGGACAACCCTCCTTCGCTGTCTTGTGACGTTGCTGCAAGTCCTGAGCGAAGGCATGTCACGCCCTTGAGGCGATTTCGCTGGAAACAACAAAGTTGATTCGACGGATATTCCTGCTGGTGAACTTCATAGAGGCACACCAAGATCTCCTGGAGCACGATTTCGGATGTCGACCACTCAGGGCCCAGGGGACACGAGATCAAAGCGGGATCGCCGAAAACAGACAAGTAGATGCCTGGCGAGGAGAGCAGGTGGTGGGTATGGCGGCTATTGGGAAGGGGGTATGACGGGCTGTCTTGCACAGAAGCCGTGGGAAAGTGGTTGCCTACCTACCTACCTTATCTTGGTAGGTACCAAGGCATCAAGAACACCTTATCCAACCCCCAGGTGAGCGGCCGTTCGTCCGACATCCCTAAAATGGTGCCTATGGAATATGAACTTGGCGCAAGCGATACATCCCCCACCTTGCTGGCGAACTATAGGCACTTGCATCAGGTTCTCAGGTTCTCAGGTACTGTGACGTAGGATCCGATGATCAGCCGGCAAAATCAACTGCCCAATCGCAAGCCAGCTTCAATAAGCTTCAGGTAAGGTACCCCCCGAGGCGAGCAGAGCATCCTGGCAACCCACACTTGCCAAGGCAGACTTCCCAGGTTTCACACACCTTAAGGCAACTTCATCAGATTACTTCACACAACCATCTGAGATCGGTCAGTAGGCAACCGTGACACTCAACCGAACATCAAGGTCGACGACATAGCCCGGCTTTCCGATGCTTGCGCAGCAAACAGAAGCGATGGTGGACGACATCGATGACAAGGCTGTCACCCACCAGTGTCCCTTGGGGCCGACCCAAAGAGATCGACCGCAGCTTCAGGGCTGGAGCGCGCTGATCCCGGCACTGCCGCTTGCTTCCGTTACCTTTCATTAAGTCAGCCTGGGCTAACCTTGAGACGACCTAGTCTCGAGGTTTGTTTACCGATCATGCTTCGAAACATCTCCGTTGTTCAACACACCGCTTCGTCTTTTTGCTGCAAGGCCGTAGCTTGTCCACGATGGATGGACAAGTGGGACCAAGCCCATGCATACCCTGCTCCTGCCTTCCAGGGAGTGTCTTCCCGGAACTCTGCCAACCATGGCGGCCCGGACCACGAACCCCTCCTCGCCAGAACCATGAGCGCGTGTTGCCATCAGTCGATCAAGTCAAGGTGGTGTCGAAGTGAGGTGCCTCGCTTACGGCGCGTCCATAGTAGCGAACTCGGCCGAGTAATGGCGCAGTGTGTCTGCAGGTGCAAGCAAAGCAGCTTGATGGGCATGGCAGCCCTCCATGGCAAACCTTCGAGCCATCCGACCCACACAGAAATGGCCCCCAACACCAGCGCGCGCCTTTGCCCCGTTTTGCTCTAAGCAGCATTTATTATTGATGGTCAAATTACCTGCCATTGCTCGCCCTGCATACCTATCGGCAAGGCTCTCCTACCCCCCGGGAATTGGCAGACTGGCTTCTGAGTGACTGAGAAATCACACTGTCCAAACGTCACGGGCAATCGTCTACACACCATACAATGTCATCCTCGACATGCCATATTGGTTGCGTCGATACTTGGCAGTTCCTCGAACACTGATATTCCGGAAATGTTTGACATGATGATGGAGCCTGAAGCTAGCCGCAGCACTTAGCATGGCTGCAGAGCCTGGTCCGAAGGTAAGCCCGTGACTTCGGGAGAGGCTGAAAGGCACATGTACTGTGTCACCCACGTTACTCCACGAACTGAGTGCTCATTTCTTCGTCCCAACTTTACCAGAAGGGAGCTTGGGCAATGCCACTGCAAGTACCCCGAATAAGGATCGGCAGTCTCAATATTCGCGCTTAGGGCTGATGAGTCCTGCAGGTCAAAGCTCTAATTCACTGCACAACGGGTCCTGATGGCACAGTTGCCTGATTGGACTTACAGTGACAGATCCACGCCTACCCGGTTCAAGGGTACACAGCCAGAAGTCACGGCGGTGAAAAGAGTCGAGCGAGCGTCAGTCAACGACTAAGCAGCTCCGTGACACACTCGAGAAAACGTAGTACTCTTACGTACTGCTCTGCCCACTTTAGCTAGAATCTTAGTGACGGCCGACAAGCTCGTGGTACGTCAAAGTTTCGACGTGTCGCTCTTCAGCTGCTGCTCGCTTGCATTGGTAATCTGGGCAGTGTCTGTGGTTTTCGGTGTCCCTATTGATGCAATCATGACTGATTACAGTGGACACATCTGCATCATACCCACCCCCAGTTCTCCGGGTCAAGGCTGAGCAACCCCCGGGCTGTCTTCTATACTGCTCTAGTGTGATGTAGTGCGAATAGCTCATGGATCATCCCAAGACACCATCACGACCACATGGGCTGAAGTATGATTCGTCACGAAGAGCAGAGCAGGCTGACACCTGTAAACAGCCTTGCTCGTTTGCCTCATATGGACAGTCGTATCTCGTATACTCGAGCGGATTTCCCTTGACAGCAGACCTTGGTGGGCAGCGTATTTCACTCTGCCCAAGAAAGCCACCATGACCTCGCCGATTTGAGTATCAGGGGTCAACCCCAGGGGATCCTGGACCATCACCCTTGTGGCGCGCGCGAGCAACACCCCGCTTCCCACAACCCGGATTCAACACAGACATGCTGGTTTAACAGATTCTTGCCAAGCCTCGAAAAAGCGGCAGACTCAACTAGCTCGCTAGTACAGAGAGTTCTCCTGTCTTCTCGTCCGGCCTTCTGCCCGCCGCCGTTGTACCCTAGTAACCTCGCGGGAGCAGCCCGTTTATTCCACCTGCCGAGGCGCCTTCTCTGCCCACCCCCCTCCTCTTCAGCCTTGAATATCTGGATTGGGCTCGCCGGCGTTTCTTCATCCACATTCTCTTACCGGTTACTGATGACCTCGAGCCATGTTGTCTCCTGGCATTTGACCCACACAGAGATCGCCCGACCAGGCATGGTGTGTTCGATATCCCTTGGCCAGAGAGGGATGCCGCCATGCATACAACTGCCACATCTACACCCTCGTGTGTAAAACCTGCGCAATATTGCACGCTTCAATTTCTTCCGAAAGTCTGCCCTACGTGTAGTCGAGGCTTTCTAGAACCACTTGCCGACAGGACCAGTCTCTGCAGCATATGTTTCCGCCCCCAGTCCCGGTCCATCAACCTTTGCTCATAGCATCTAGAGTGTGTTCTATAAAAGCTAGACGTCAAGTCTGAAAGCACGGTCTTGTTGGATCCTCAAGCAAGCAACTCGGACGAACACTCTCCAACTCCTTTATACTGCCAAACACGCTGCTCCTGGGAACCATTCTTGACAGAGTCTCAGCACTTGAGCGACTGAACTATATCTCCGATACCTCTACAAGCCCCTGAGGAGGTAGCGACCATGTCTTCTAGAGCCCACAGACACTCGGAGTCGAGTTCCAGCTCAAAGAAGCATACACCGACAAAGTCCAGGACCAAGTCCAAGTCTCTCAAGACGGACGACTGGACAGACGTCACCGACCCAGAAGAGCGAAGACGAATTCAGAACCGCATTGCCCAGCGGAAATTTCGTAAGGAGCCCCGCCTCTCTTCCAACGTCCTCGCAGCACATGTGGACTAACACGATGGGGAAAATAGGAGAGAACGCCAGAGAAAAGAAGGAGATTGCGGAGCGCGAGTACGAGAACGAGATCAACTCCCACCTCACATACGACATTGCCGATCCTGATCAGGTCAATGACGATGAAGGCCCGGTATGGGGCGGCCCCAGCTTCCGCCACATCTTCTCCAGAGGTCGCGAACACGAGAGCCGTCGCGGCAGCCATCGAGGACAGTCGTTTGCAGCAGATGACCCTCGAACGGCACGCTCCTACAGCAACGCAACGGGCTACTCGTCAGGGGGAGGATATCAGCACCACCGTCACCAGGCGGTGAGCCACGCAGGCGGCAGCAGCGGCGGCGAGGAGATGATTTACACCGAGGAGTCACCGTACTACTACGACTACGACTACGAGCATCAGGCGGGGGAGCAGGGCCAGTGGCAGAGGCGGCAGAACAGTTAGTACGCCCATCGTAACGTTACTCTCCCCTCCCCTCCACCAGTTCCAGACGCCTCGCGCGAGGTTGGCGACCACTTGGAAGCAAAAACAGTATCTAACAATAGCTTCTTCAACGACAGGTGGACAGAGCCCCTCGTATTATGGCGGTCAGGGCTATCAGGACAGCAGTGTCTCGGGGCAGCCCTACGCCTATGGTTCGTCTTCTCCCGGCAGCAGCAGCATATCCTCTCGCGGGTATGGAGCGTATGGGCAGAGCCTATTTTAGGACATGTTTGACGGGGCGGGGAAGCTGGGCTTGTCAGAGGGGCCAGGCGGGAGCAGACACAGGATGGCCCATGTTGTTTTCTCTTTTCGTTTCTTTTCTTCCCAAGTATTGCGGATTTCATGTTTGGCGATCATGGTGTGTATGTGTGGATGGACTACTGTACAATCTCCTCTTCCTGGTCTCAAACTCTCTTTCAAAATTAGAACGCCCATAAGCGGGATGACATGACAAGTTCTGGTTGGTGGTTCAGGGTAGAAGCTGAAGCGGCAGTGGCACCAGGGTCGTGGGGACATGACACATGCCACTCTCTCCCCTCTCTGGAGAGTCGGGACGGGTCACTTGGCGCCCTGTCTGGTCCGGTCTGGTGTACGATTCGGAGCATCTGATTAGCGTAAGAGCGAATGTAACTCATTCGACGATGTCTTTTCTTGGGGTCCTCGTGCAACAAACGTCCTCATTGGCAGGCGCGCTCCATGACTGTCCCAATAGGCTGCTTTACTTGGCCTTACTACAAGAGGTATTCTCTTAATCGTCTCGCCGTTCAGACTATGTGATGGAACCCCCCTGGTCGGGATGTGCCGCTGATGTCAAGTATCAGCAGCCACAGGAAAGTTGGCTCGGTCTGGAATCTGTCAGGCAGACACGACAGATTCCCCGATGATTTTCCCATCCTGCCGAAAGGTCAATCGTCTCCGTGACCAAAAGCACACCTGGGAACAACAGAGGCGCCAAGCTCAGCAGCCAATGGAAGGCGTGAGTAGTCTCAGCTGGCTTTCGGGACGATTCCCATGCGGTTGTGGCCACAGTTACTGTGTAAATGGGGGTAGTATCGCCTGCTTCCAACCTTCCAGACAGCAACGAGCTGGTTGTGTGTCTGCCTGGGCTGCCGCACGCAGAGGTACTTACCTACCTACCTACCTACCTGAGGTACCTTGCCTTGCTATAAGGTAGTAGCGTAAGAAGGATCGGTATTGGAATCCCCCATGGCGCCCAGGGCGCAGCCAGCCAGCGAGCCGGACACACCTACCCACCTGTTCAGCCCAGCAGCCAGGGTGTCGAACCCGACGGATGCAAATTTGGGGGCGGTGGTGGTAGTGGTGGTAGTGGTGGTGGTGCTGGGAGCAGATGGGGGGGGGGTTGGAAAATTGGCCCGCGCTACTGCACGCTGCTTGCATGAGCAAGGCGATTTCGAGGGTTCACTGGCTGGGTCCTGGTTCGACAGGCAGACGTTGGGGTGGGCATGGGCGCCATGCAAGAACCATGGCGGGCGATCGTGATGCCTGTCCGGGTGTCGGAGGACGCCCTCGATAGAGTAGGCCTTGACGAGGCGCCCGGGGGGGGGGACGTGAGTTCCCGTGATGCAAGGGCACACCGAAGCTTCTGAGCTGGAAAGGCGACAGACAGCCTTGGGAGCCTGGAAATCTGCAAGAATGAATATCGAGAGCCTGATCACCCCCATTTGAAGCTTGCCCGTAAGAGAAGAAGCTCTGATCTCGATGACTTAGGGAATGTGCCCTTGGTTCCGAGAGGGGTCTCCGGATGGGCGAGACCCGTAGTGAGAGTCCCTGTCAGAGAGCATCTGTGCAGGCCTCTGTAGAGGTTCCCGTCACCGCTGATCGCAGGATCACTGACAGGCGGGGGGAGGGTGTTGTTGGGGGTAGGTACTACCTACCTAGGTACCTGGGTAGTCCCACCTTTGACGATCCTACTACGATTCCCCCTCTGACGTCCCGCCTGCGCTTGTTGGCTTGACAGCCAAGACCACGACACCCCGCCGGACCCCAGCCCCGCGTCACCTATCCGCCAAGGGCGATCAGCACCAATTCCTCCACCCACGCCTCACCGCCCGGCAGATTCCCAATCTTTTTTTCCCAATCCCCTCCACCATACACCGAGCTTCCGCTGCTGGCCTAGCTAGGGACATTGAAGATCCATACTTTGGTCCTTCAATCCGGATTTCGAATTTCATATGAGCAAAATGGTCCACGCAAGCATTGACCCCGCGCAGGCCAAGGCCGGGGCGAAGCTCAAGGGTAAGAACCCGATCCATCATGCGACACCATGCGCGCGCGACAAATCGCAAACTCGACGCAGCCCCCAAACCTTAGAATTGAATCCCCCACCAGGCTAACCTTCTCTTCTTCGCAGAGAAGAAGCTCAAGCGCAAGGAGGAAGCGCGCTCCGCTACCAAGTCGAAGAGGGCCCCGGGCAAGACGGAGGATGCCGCCGCCACGGAGTCAAAGAAGGACGAGAAGCGCCGCAAGCACATGCTGCAACAGGCCGACGCTCTCGAGGCCCAGGGCCGGGAGATGATCCAAACAGCCCAGGCCATGCGCGCCCGCTACGAAGCCGTCACTGAGAAGAAGGGGGTGCGTTGCGGTCCTTGGCTTTGCATGGTGAACATGTCGACGCTGACACGTTGAGATAGAAACAATCCGCCAAGGGCATCACCGATCACTCTGACGATACGACATCTGACTCTTCTTCTTCTTCTTCTTCGTCCTCATCCGACTCTGACTCTGATTCCGACAGCGACTCGTCCGGCAACGAGGACGGCGGCGCCCCCGTCGACGCCGTCATGGCGTCCGCCAACTCGCAGCTCCGCGCCGAGAGCGAAGGCTTGAGCGGTCCCACGAAAGAACCCACGAAGGCCGAGCTCGAGGCTGATGCCGACACTGAAACTGCGACGAAGAAAAAGGCCAAGAAGGAGAAAAAGAAAGAAAAGAAGGCCAAGGCCGCGGACACGGACGAGGCAGATGTTGCAGTTGAAGAGGACGTCAAGGAGAAAAAGAAAAAGACAAAGAAGAGGAACGACGCCGAGGTCACCGATGAGACGGAGAGAGAGCCTGTCAAGTCCAAGAAGGAGAAGAAGGCCAAGAAATCCAAGCCCCCCGTGGAGGCTGACTCAGAGTCCGACAAGGAGGTCGTTTCCAAAAAGGAGAAGAAGCAAAAGCGGAAGCGCGAGGTCGACGAGGACGAAGAGGCCGCCAAGGAGGACGTCAGCGCCAGCAAGAAAGACAAGAAGAAGAAGGCCAAGAAGACAGCCGATGAGCCCGCTCCCCAGGCCAGTGCCGTCGGGGGCGAGCAGTGGAACGTCGGCGGCTTGGACGGCGGCGCCCAGCGACAGCAGAAGTTCTTGAAACTGCTCGGAGGAGGCAAGAAGGGTGCCGCTGCGGCACAGGCCCATGGCAGCCGAGCCAACTCTGACATATCTCAGGTGAACCAGGACCTGGAGAAGCAGTTCAACGCGGGCATGCACATGAAGTTTGACGTCGGCGGCGGCCCGCGCCGCGGCCTCGGTGCTTAAGCCTCAACCTCCGAGCCCAATGCTCGGTTTCGCTCGTTCTTTCCACTGCTCAGCCACGGCGTTTAGGATTTCGAAAACCACCAAAAGTTTGTACACCAAGAGGGAAGGGCTCATAGTCGCAGCGACTGTGCGAGGAGCGCATCAGAAACATACCAGGACAAATCTGTAAATGAATTCATCAATTGTTGCTGTGAAGTAATGGTACGCCAATGTGCTCCTGATCCCGGATACGTGGTATCGATACACCAAATCTGATCTGAAGCCAGGCCCGTATGGCCTCTTGTTGCGGATTCGGTTCAGTCCCTGCTGGCTGGCGGCTGGCGTTCTCCTCCGGCACCCTGCTCCTGATAGCCCGCCGCCTCGTGAGAACTCCCGTTTGCTTCGCGCGCCACGCGCAGCTACGACCCCCTTTTACAGCCCGAGGCCCTCTTCGCCACCGCTGTTGTAGTCGTCACAGTCCTTCTTCTCAAGGCCGTCCTCGGCGGTTCATCATCTAGAAACCGAGCATGCGAGAAACAGGGTCGAAGACCAGGCCGCCGATGAGAATGAAGGCGAGGAGACCTGCGTGGCGAACAGCCCAGGGTCAGCCACCTGCTTGCTTGCGAGGAGGAAGGGGAGTAGACCATGAAAATTGGGGGCACATACCGAGCCAGATGGGAGAGATGGGGGATTTGGGAGTCTCCTTGGGGCGGACCTTCATCTGATCTTCGGACTTGCCCATGCGGGCTTCGTTGCCTTTCGCGAACTTGGCGTTTGCGCGGCGCTGGGTCGGTGTTTGGGCCTATTTAAGGGGGGGAACCAAGTCAGCACCATGCCCTGCATGCGTCTTCTGAATCGCTAAACTCGGTGCGATGTAACATGCGAAGCCAAGGGCGAGTTGGGAGTGTACACACCATTGTGGAATGTGAGTTCGTGGTCTGGAGAGGGAGGTAGTTTCGGATCGGAGGGATGAAAGTAGGGGTTGGTAGGCCTGGGTTTGCAAGTTGGCGAACTTTGTTTTGTCCTTAAGTACCCCAGCTGGTGGCGCGGTGATGCAGTGCAGGAGGTTGCAGAGCCGATTTCGTCGACGTGGTGGCAGAAGTCAGTCGAACGTTTCGTCGAAAGGGACAGGTGGTCGTGGAGAGAGGTCAGTTGCGCAAATGGACAGCGCGATACTTTCCCCTGGGAAATTCGTTCGACAGGGCTGATGGGGGGGGTGGGAGCTCCAGCTCGGGAGGACATGTGTTCGTGTCCGGCCGCCCCGTCGTACCTCGAACGTGCTTTCCGGGCGATTGCTTTCTGATTGGACACCAGAGGCGCGGCTCTACCGCGACGGCTCCACTCATCCGCGGGAAATGCATGGAATGCGGGGGAGATTTGCACCGCCACAGGCTCCCAGGGTTCTCTGAGGCGCTGATGTAGGGACCTGGCAAGAGCTCGAGCCTGAAAGATCGGCTTTGCGCGGCGATGGAGACCGAGAGGCGCCATGACTGTTGAGCTACGGCGATCACCACCGTGAGACGACCAAATACCGTCTTCACCACCAACGGATTCGCGTTACATCGTCGCAATACATCGCTACAGCCCGACCATACTGATGAGGCCCGTGACGACCATGGCGCGGGCGCGCTGTTCCCGGATCCTCCTCAGACCAGCGACAAGATCCTACGCGACCGCCAACAAGCCTCCTTCGGCTGTGGTATGTGATCCTGCCTCCGCGCACCTCCATCTCCCAGCCAACTAATGATCCTCTCTCAGGCCAACTTCTACAAAACTTTCACGCGACCGACGCTGAAGGTTCTCCTCATGGCGACACTGACATACCAAATCGCCTACTTGGCGTGGACCAAACTCGAGATGGATGAAATCAAGGCAGAGCGAACGCAAGAGGTCCAAACCCTCGAGGCACAAGTAGACGAGCTCAGAAAGGGACAGCAGATGGAAAAGAAATGATGATGGCAATGCGCAACTCCCGCTCGGAGGCTTGAACCAAGGGTTCGAGCAGTTCGGCGACCATCGTATTGTAGCATGCAAATATCTTCGGGCAAGAGGGAACCCTAGTGGAGCCTCCAAAGCTAGGCAAAGATGATGCGCACTCTATATTGAATGCATCATCGAAGAGTGGTCTATGGCGGGCGTCTTAAGCTCGATATGCAGGGAAGGGTGTATGAGTAGCAAATGGGTACTGACTCTGGGTGTACGATATAAATGAATATACCATTGCACTTCGTTGGACGGATGCACCAATTTGCTAACACTGTGAAGCGTCCCATAATGCGCCCTCCTTCTCGCGTCGAAGCAAAATCATTAGTGCTACATGCCGTGTCGGCTGTGCCTTGTTCTTCACAAAAGCGATTTCCCAATATTGCACAAGAACAAGGCATCATGCCTTGCCTCATTGAACCGTCAAATCTATCTAAGTATATGCGAAGTTTGCGCAGAAGTGGCAACCTCTTATGCAAACGAGTATCCCAAGACGCCAGAGCCATGCATAGACCAACAATCCTTCGTTTCCATTCCCGTCGACTTCATTACGTACGGCCACCGTATCATTAAACCCCCAATGACAGTTCTGACCTCTGGTAGATCAGGCCGATGTCCGTCCAAAAGCAACAAACATGAGCAACGACAGCGTCAGCCAGGACACCGCGGGGGCTGATGAGCCCGACGGGTTGTGCACCGAGCCAGGATAGTTGCACGTCAGCCCTTCGCCGCGGATCTGGTAGCTCGAGTTGAACACGTGCTGCCTCGGTCGTGGACACTTGAAGCCCAGCGACGAAGGGCAATTGCGAACAAGATCGTAGCAGAGATCCTCGCAGGGGAGAATCTCGCGGTATGGTCCTGGTGCTACCTCCTCGTCAATGCGATCATTTCTTGACTTGAGGTGCGCCACCTCTGGAAATTGCGCGACCATCTCTTCAGAAACCTTGGTGCCGTTTGGAAACGACTGGTTGAGATTCCGGACGAACGAGAATTCGTTGGTGCTCGAGATGTCCTCGCAACGAGGGATCGTAATGGAGCAAAGCCACTTCTTGTAGGCTACCTCGCAATCCCTACAATCGCGAGCTAGGGAGTACAATTGGTGTGATGGAGCTTCGCAGGCAACCTGCGCGAGCTGCCTCTCGAAGTAGCCATACATCTTCCTGGCATAATCGTCATAGAACCGAGCTAGCTCGGCGATGTCGAACCGCTGGTCATTCGCTGGGACCGCATATTCAGTCTCGTTGCAAAATGTAAGATCAGTGATGATTTTGCAATTATCGCCTTTGAATCGTTAGTGAGATGAGAGCCGTAGCCAGTGAAGCACATCATACCTGACTTGGTCTCGAACTGCGTGCTCTGAAAGACCCGACCTCCGCCTCCCGCGCGATTCGGTGTCTGTCGCTTGAGGCTCTCCGAACCCGTCCATACGAGATAGCCATTGTACGAAGAGCTCGCGTTTAACCCATTGAAGTAGAACTGCTGCTTCGGAAGGCCTCCAGGTCCCCTCGTCGTCATGACCGTCGTGGCCTTGTCGCCGAAGGATCCGCCCGCTTTCGCCGCCATCTGCGCATAGTTGGAGAGGCCGCACATGGAATGACGCACGCCTCTTGTTTTCCATCCATCCTCGTTCTCCACAAACATGACATACTGCGGCCCCTCATCCATGATCTTTTGGATTTGGACCGCGTCGGTGCTGTCCGTCATGTTGGGTGTAATGAGCAGAGCAGCGCTGGAGTCGCTATCCACCCAAAGAAGCCCCCCCTGGTTATTGCCATAGGAATGATAGAAATCGTCGGTCGAGACGGCTACATCAAAGTTCCACTCGCCGTCAAACATAACCTCATTGCTTGTCGGAGCTGAGATGCCAAAGAAGACATCACCGGTAGCGTTGAGCTTGAGCATCACCGCTCCCTCATCGAATGCCCTGTACGTCTGGTTCACCATTGGCTTGTCGGCGCCCGGGAGCTGGTTATCGAGGGAAGTTGACACGAATAGACTGATCTGAGGCGGATCCATGGATGTGTTGTTCCCACTCCGCTGCGGTTGGATGCAGGTGGTGGCCGATATGTAGATCGTCCTGATGCGTTCTTGTCGTCGACGAAGACCCAGGTCCTCACTTGCGCCCTCATCCTCGGTAGATGTGTCATCGTCGACGACAGGCGGCCCGTTGGCAAGCGTTAGGTTGCTCGTGTGCCTCGTCTTTACAGTGCTCCTTGACGCCACTTCGTCTGGCCAGATGCGACTGGCCTCAAAGACAAACTGTTGCGTCGTCCCGGGTCTGACATTTCGGTTTTCCTTGACATTGTTCAGAAGGCCTGTCACCCCTGGTGGTGCCCTTCCAATAATACTGCGATCGAAGGCGGGGAACTCGGCTTTGTAGGTGATGTCGAGCTTGCTGGTATCATCCAGTGGTGCGACAAGATCGTCTTCGCTTGTGTATCGCTCGTCAAGAAAGAAGCCTGGCGCATCGGCAAGTTGTTGCGCCTGGGCGAAGCCAGGTGATAAGAGCAAAAAGTATAACAGCAACAACATGACGGATGCGCCTAGCGATGCTACAAGACGGGACTGTAGAGGTGTGAATTGCATCGTAGCGCTATGCCCTCCAGGGGCGAATGCTATGTATTTTTGTTGTCCAGGTCGTTTCGAACACAACTGGAAGAGCACGATTGAGTACTGGGGAGATCGTTTGTATGCAGAGGCGCGGGTCTCAGTGGTTGCACACTCGATGATGTTCGATTAGCATGGTCGCAGTTCGGAGAGGTGGATGCCTAGGAGTGGTGATGGCTGCGGCGGATTCGATCAAGAGCTGCGCACCTGTCGCGTTCGTTGTGCTGGTGGTACGGAGGATTAGGGGTCTTTTGAAATACGGTTGTCGAGATCAGGGAGTTTCACGTTCCATGTCCAAACAGCTGAATGGCAACCCCATACATTGTGTTGCGTACGCATCGACAGGGGGGCTTGCTGACGGTGTGGCGCAGCAGCCACGGCTAAGCCACATATCTCGGGATGCATGTCTATAGACACAGTCCTAGCTCTTGTGGAGACGCACCTTTTACGTAGGAGAAGACAATGCTATCTGGCTATTGAGAGAGCGAGGCGGGACTTGCGCTGTAACTTGGTTTCGATTTAAGTTCAGGGTTTGAAATACGAGAATAATAACCCAACCACTTCGCGACACTGACACATTTTTTTTTTCATCTCTAGCTTTAACAGCAAACTATGATAGAATAATCCTAACAACGTTGGTGTTGCACCATAAACCAAGTGTGCAGTGTTTGGTGATAACGAGGGCTCCTAGTGGTTTTCTTGTACCGCAGTCCGCAAAGAACTGGACTCGTTCTCATGTTTCCATTGTCTCATAACCCCCATGCTGTTCATGGCGCCTCATGGTATCGTTGCCTGGCCGAATTGCGTGTAATGAACCAGCCTGCATGACGCAGTGACCTGCCAAAATCTAGGAAAGGAAAAATGCCGTCGTGGCGGGAGGGTGATGCCCAAGTTGATGTGTGTGCATGGCTTTGAGAGAGCAAGTTGTTTAGTCGGACTTGTCGAGGCCCTGGGCCTTGGCACGGAGTCCGGAAGCAGTAGAAGCGCTGCCTCCAGTGAAGTGCTTGGAGAGCATGGGGGCCATGAAGGAGTGGAAGATGATCTCAGCGCCGCTGCATTTGAATCAGTGACGGACGCGCATCTCTTTCGTGGGCTAGACTTACCGGAACACGGGCAGGGAGAGCCACAGGAGGAACACAAACTTGAAGACGAAGTAGAAGGGGAACCAGTAGACAACGTTGACGAGGCTCTCGACGATACTGTGGCGCATTACGGTTAGTCCGGATTCGCCGCAGCTTGGAGTGCGCATCAACTTACGTGAAGAAGGAGAACACGACCCAGTACTGTTTGCCCGATAATCAGTATTGCGCAATCAGGGAGCGGGGTGCGGGGTTGAAAAGCTTACGGTCAACCACTGGGTGTCATCATTGGTGTTGTGCGTGAAGAGCGCATCGATGGAGTAGTAGCAGGGGATGACGAAACCGGCGAGGTTGGTGAGAAGCTGTCCGCCAAGGTTGAAGATGATGAAGAAGAAGTACAGGGCGCCGAGGCCGATGGCACCGTACGCCTTGGGAACGTTGGTGGACTTTTCAATGTTGTTCAGGATGGGGTACTTGGAAAGCTGCACAGGACAACTGTCAGATATCAAGGGGGCACTGGAGTGTTTCTAGATGTTGTTACCTCGCTGTCGAGCTGACCAAGGTAGTTCTGGACACGGTCCTGGGCAGACATTTTGTCGATTGATGATGTCGTGGGAGGGGGTTTTGTGCGCTGTGCGGGGGTTAGCAAGGTGGTTTCAAGTTGGCTGGGATAAGCTCCTCAGCCATGAAGTGACCGACTTTTTCAACGTTCAGAAATATCAAGAGCTTTGTTTAAAGATGCTGCGAGAAAGAGATGCGAGGATGTAGCTGGTGGTGGGGAGTAGCTGGGCGTCGCAGTGGTAGATGCAGGAAGGCTGGCGAACTCAGGGTTGGGCAATTTGGCAGGTGACAGACAGTGACGACTGGCGAGCGAGGGAGAGGGCAGGATGACGACGTGTTCAGCTGAAATGTGGAATCGGGCCCAAGCTTGCTGGTTGCGTCAAGCTTCGGGAGGGGGAATAGAGGCGGGGCGGCACCTAACGATCTCGGGTACTTCGGCAGCCGGGCCAATCATCACTGCTGGGAAGAGGATGGCCGATAAGTGGACAAGCCAGCCACTCGATCTGTGGCCCAGCCCAACCCAACCACCCCCCTGTGTGGTGGCTGCTTGCTTGCTGATTCTCGCTTGCTCTGAGATCCACAGACCCCAACAACACGCATGATGTAAGGCGAGTAAACAACAACGCCCAGGGGCTTTCTCCTGCATATGTCGAAATTTGCAAATGTCGTACATTTTAATGAGGTCTTGGCTCACTGGACTCGACAAAAAACCTTGCGCTTAACAACTGGACGCCATCAGCAGCAAGGAATGAACTGGTGCAGGGAGGAATCGGACAAGGTTAAGCTGCAATCCGCTCTGCTGGCACCGGCCGCGGCCCGGGCTTCGTCACAAAAGTAGAACAACATAAACAAGCTTGCACATCACTAAAACTTATCAGTCAGACAATATGACCGGGCGCCATGAATCGTGACGAAGGACGCTCGATCTGTAAAATTAGCTGGTGGGCCTTTAGATTCCAGCGTGCCTATTCTGATGCATGTCCCAAGGTAATGTCCAGTAACGTCGTTGGCTCATCACGTGTGTCCCAGCCACATAGGATTGAGACCCGCAAAGCGCCCGCTTGGCCAATTGCGGCACGGACTTGGTTACCGAGCAACAACAACAACTCGACGCCCACGCCAAAACATCGCTTTTCCTCTTCACCAAACCTTCCCACCAGACCAGAAACGCCGGCCAGAGCGCGCAGCGCACTACTCACCACACCACAGCATCGTCTGCACCGGAGTCCCATAGCTTCAACCTTTCATCTGGGCTTTTCACCGTCTCGTCTTGTCGCTCAAAGTGTCTGCTCGATTGACTGCTGCCTGTGCCGCGTGTTATTGTCGCAGCGATAGCTTCATCACAAGCCGGCGATTTCGGCCACCATGGATCAAGGTACGGCAGTCGCCTGCCGGGTCTTTAGAGACGCGATCCCACAGTTTACGAGCAACTTTTACTGACTCGATCACCTTCAGGTGGAATTGTCCAGCCTCATATGAAGAAGAGGCCACAATCGAGAGGATCAACAGCCTCAGCTACAACCCAACCCGGACTCGACCACCAGGGGCTCGCAGATGCGCAAGATCTCTACTCAGCGCAGTGGGTCAACAACGATCAGAGGCATCCGAAACCTCTCGCACCAGCTCCACGCATCTCTCCCGACGGCATGATGATGCAGGCTGCAACGCAAATGCAAGGCATTCGCGACTACACGATGCAGCCCACGACGCATGCCCCGGTCAACCATGCAATGGCATTCCACCGACAGTCGCTTTCCGGCCACTCGCAACCCATGGACAGCATGATGAACAACAGCTTCACGGAGGACAGTCAAATGCTTGACCGCGACGACAACGATGAGGGTGACTCGCTTGCCGGTGCCTTGGGGATGGCAAAGTCAACGTCTGCCAAGTCAAGCGCCAACAACGAGCTTGAGATGCGCCATCTGTTCGGTGCCAACAGGCACCGTAAGCTCCAAGAAGTGGCGCAGGAGCTGCATGGAAACGAGAGGGGCCCCAACTCTGAACGGACAAGACAGGTTTTCGCCATGTTGTGGATCAATTCGGTCTGTTCGAAGGGCAAGGGATCAGTTCCTCGCGGTCGAGTTTACGCCAACTACGCGTCGCGATGCGCGACAGAAAGGATCACAGTTCTCAACCCAGCGAGTTTCGGCAAACTTGTTCGAGTCTTGTTCCCAGGACTGAAGACCAGGCGTTTGGGCGTTCGAGGCGAGTCCAAGTATCATTACGTTAACTTCGCGCTTGTCGACGATCAACCAGAAATCCGTGAGCCAGAAGCACCACTTCCCCTTGCTCCGGCAGCCGCGAGCTTCTCCCGCAGCAATAGCATCGCTCCCAATAAGCCAGCATCTGCTACCTTCGCCAAAGACAGCCAAGCGCCATCCGACTCTATGCCTCGTACAAAGAGCCCGGCTTCGCTTATATCAGGCCACTCCCGATCCCACAGCTTCTACAGCATGCCAAGTATCACTTCTGCAGACCAGCTCCACACGACCACCAGCAAAACTTCACTCGAGCTTAGCTTTCCTTCTGAGCTGGAGGAGGCCATGTTCAACCAGTCAGAGGCCATTGCACTACCACGGATCGAACCATTCCTTCCGCAAGGAACGGATCCTGACGCTGCAAAGAGTCTTTCGGCACTCTATCGCTCCCATTGCACTTCGCTTGTCGAATGCGTGCGCTACTGCAAGGAAAAGACATTTTTCCATCTCTACACATCATTTCAAGGCACACTCACGATGCCCGTGCAAAAGCTTCTGGGTAATGCCAGCGTCGCTCCTTGGATCGAAGAATGTGACTTCATATTGTATCAGCGAATGATGCAGATTGTCTCGGGCTTGACACTCCAGGTTGTTCCCAAACCTGTTCTGGACACATTACGAAGTATATCTACGCGTTTGGTGCCCCACATCCGTGAAGCCTTCCAAGGACAGCCACTTCATGTCATCCGTGCCAAAGAAGCGCCTGCGACAGTCTTTGCAGCCCTGCTCGATCGCGCGCTCAAGGTCAACCTGACAGCTCATGCTGCAGCCAACATGCTTTCCAACCCGGCCAATCGAGATCAGATGTATCTGGACTGGATCACTATGGTTCCCGTCCGAAAGGTGGCGGAATCAATCCCCACTCGCGGAATGGACGACTTCGTCAACCTTGTGGTTTCCGAGATCAGGGACCTGCTTGATCCACAGAGCGTTCCATGGGAAGTTGAGTGCTTGACGGTTTACGGTGACCTTGCCTCAAGAAAAGAGCGACAGCTCAATGACAACGCTGGAGAGTCCAGCGGACAGAACGTTCTCGAGCGATGGGTGAACTTTCTGAAGTCTCTTGCAAGCCGCTTCCCTTACGCGCGACACGCCGACATTGTCTATGGTGTCCAGCGGATCGGCACAGCTGTCATGCGTGATCTAACCATGGCTCAAGGCAAGAGTTTTGGATCCTGGTGGGTCACGAAGTGCTGGATCGACGAGATGATCTCGTTCCTGGCGGAACAAGGCGGTTTTATGAAACTCAAGACAACACGCGTGGCAGAGGATGTAGCGGCCGCGCCGATCCCCAACAATGAGGCACAAGGCGAAACTGCGCGCCAAAGCGGCGGCAGTGAAGAGTTCAACTTCTCCAGCCTATCTTCCGCGCAACCGGACCGGGCACCATTTCCATCCACAAACAGCACGACACAGGTAGATCCGGCGGGCCTCGGTGGAGGCTGCAATCCTGATGACAGCGGGATCGGGATTCGAACGCCTGACGAGGAGTTCCCTATGGACAAGTACACCTTCTCACAGACCGAAGTCGACCAGGCCCTGCTGTCTTCAGGGCAGGGCATCGAGCAATGACGACGCGTGTGGTAACGACGGCACGAATGTACGAAAGAGGAAGGGGGGTGGGTTACTTTTCGCTTTAGGGGGTTCGCGGTTCGCGGTTCGCGGTTTGGCAGGTGCGCCATGTTATTGGGGAGCCTGGGTTGCTGAACCAATGTGGCGTCGATGGGGCGGTGGTTTGATTTCTGGATCTGGGCTTTGAGCTGAAAGGCCTGAAAGAAAGGGGCGTTCATGGGGGTTTGGTGGCGATTTAATGATTTTAATTCTTGCTTCAGTTTCCAGCCTTGGATGTGCAGTACGATGGTTTCGTTTCGTTAGGGTTGAGAACCGGTTGGCTAGAGAATCACGGCTGAAGACCAACTCGAATAACACGAGATCAAATGTTGAATCGAGCTATTGCCACAAGCAACTGGAACATGGTTTGTCGTCGAGATCGCCGTCATAGGGACCTTTGACCCATCAAGGTAACAGGTTACCTCCATGATTGTGAGTACCCATACACTCCTCCACCATGGCGCATCAACAAAAGAACGGGCCTCAAGGCACGAGAGCTTCATGGCTGAATGGTCAAAATATGGAATCTGTCAATTGCAGCATAGCAATGCAAGCAGGGAAAGGCGTAAATGTGATTGAACTGCGGTCGTGCCCCAGATTGCCACGACCTGAGACATGCAAGGTACCTGTACCTGACAGACGGGTTCCGAGAACGGCAGATCTGTACATGCTCCGCGACAGCTGCAAGCGTGAGACGGAGTCACCCTCGGGCGCTGCCCATTGGGGAACACTGGGGGTGCTGGAGAAATTTTTGTTAGTGCTCCAGACTCCAGGCTCCGGTTTACCGGCCTCCGGCTTCATCCAGCCGCCTACCAGCAAGCCATTAGCAGCGTCTACGCCCGTCAGCCGCCGCCGATTTCGTCCCCCACAGTCCCACCTAAAAGTACCTTAGGTAGACCAACTTTGTCACCACTGAACGGTTTACACCTCAACTTCACCACTCGGTCTGCACTCTACTCCATCGGCGCTGGTGAGATTTCACTCGACCTCCCTACAACGGGCACACATCAGCAACCTGTAGACATCTCACCCGGGGTCTTTCACTCACTGCAACCCTACCTCCGCGGGGCACTGTTCGGCACATACAACCAACACCTGCCTCACCTACCGAAAACTCGCTCGTTGCGTCTTACTGTACCACCGCCATGGGCGGCCAATTGGCAGGCAACGCATCCAACTATGGATGGGTTGTGCAAAAGTTTGGCGGCACAAGTGTCGGCAAGTTTCCGGACAAGGTGAGTCTTTCGCCCTCGTCTCATAATCTTCACCTCATCTCCAACCGGTAAACCTCTCATATTCATACTGACACTGATTTGCAGATCGCGAAAGACATTGTGAAGTGAGAAGCCACCATTATCAAGCTCACCAAACAGGACGAGATCAATTGACTTACCACGTTATTCAGGGCCAATCTTTCTGAACATAGGGTCGTCGTCGTTTGCTCAGCCAGGAGTACGGGCAAGAAGGCTGAGGGTACCACAAGTCGGTGAGTCACTTTCGCGCCTCGTCACTCAGCGCAATTCCTGAAATCCGGAACCTTGCGCCTAATCCTGTGGACCAGTTTGCTCGGCATCTACAACAAGCTTAAGGGCATTGCCGCCGCGACCAACGATGAGGATGTGCAGAACGAGCTCATGGAAGAGGCCAAGAGCCTCATCAGCGACATCAGTAGCGAGCACGTGCTCGCGGTGCACAACTTTATTCGCAACGAGGACCTCCAAAATGCCCTGTCCCAACAGATCAAAGACGAGTGCCAGGAGCTTACAGAGTACATCGTGGCCGCAAAACGCTTCAACCTCGAGGTGAACGCCAGATCCAAGGACCGTGTCATCAGCTTCGGCGAGAAACTCAGCTGCCGCTTTATGGCTATTTTGCTTCAAGATCAAGGAGTTGCCTCGGAGTACGTTGATTTGAGCGACGTCTTCCACTATGACGCCACGGCCCGGCTGGGTGTGTCCTTTTACCAAGAAGCGACCGCGCTGTTGAACAAGAAGATTCTGGCCTGTGAGGATAGAGTTCCCGTCGTTACTGGCTTCTTTGGCAACGTTCCCGGCAGTCTGATTGATGGCGACATCGGCCGAGGCTACACTGACCTCTGCGCTGCGCTTTGTGCTGTCGGCATTTGCGCCGACGAGTTGCAGGTGTGGAAGGAAGTCGACGGCATTTTCACGGCCGATCCGAGCAAGGTGCCCACGGCACGACTCCTACCGTCCATCACGCCATCCGAGGCAGCGGAGCTGACATTCTACGGCTCCGAGGTCATCCACCATCTCACCATGGACCAGGTTATCCACGCGAATCCCCCGATACCGATCCGCATCAAGAACGTCAAGAACCCCACTGGCGTCGGCACGATCGTCGTCCCCGACCCCGTTCTCGCGGCAGGCCACCAGATCCAGCGCCACGCGTGGTCAGATCCCGCCCGGCTCAAGAAGCCGAAGAGGCCCACGGCTGTGACAATCAAGGATAAGATCTCCGTCATCAACGTGCACTCGAACAAGCGCTCCATATCGCACGGCTTCTTCGCCAAGGTCTTCTCCATCCTGGACAGGCATCAGGTCTCCGTCGATCTCATTTCCACCAGTGAGGTGCACGTGTCCATGGCCATCCACGTTGGCAACTCGGAGCCGGGTCAGTTTGACAAGGCGAGGCTCGAGCTTGAGGACTGCGGCGATGTCAGCATCCTACACGACATGGCGATTCTCAGCCTTGTTGGTGCCGAGATGAAGAACATGGTTGGTATCGCGGGTCGCATGTTCTCGACTCTGGGCGAGCACCAAGTCAACCTGGAGATGATCTCACAGGGTATGCTTACGAATTCTTGCCTTCCCATCTTTTTCCGCTTTTGCTAACCACTTGTCAGGTGCGAGTGAGATCAACATTTCGTGTGTCATTGGTGCGCGCGACGCGACTCGGGCCATGAACATTTTGCACACCAATTTGTTTACTTTCCTCGACTAAAGGTAGCGAGGATATACAGTTCTGGGCATTTACCTGGTTGAATCTGTCTTACATACCCGTAAATCAAGAGCATCTGGATGAAAAGTGGGTTTTGACTGGAGGATTTTGGCGCTCAATAGACATGTTTTTTGTTGTATCCTTGCCCTTCGTAGTCTCATTTGCGTCCCTGATCGTGTCGGGAAAACAGTGTAGGTGGGTAGTGGCCATTTGCTGTCTTTCGAAGGTGCTTCAGTCATATGACAACCGCTTGGAGGGCGATGAGGCGATGACAAACAGATGGGTCTTTGGCTGCTACTCGCACCTAGGTAGCAAAGGGAAGAAAGATCTTTGTTTCCTTGGCCCCTGTTTCGTCGTCGCTGTACCATTTGAGGCTTTCCAGCAACTTCTTGCCTGAGCACCTGGTGTTGCATGACCAGCCAACCAAAAGAATCACTTGTGATTCAGTTCCCCCTACGAAGGCACGACCAGAGGGCATCCACATTCACTGCCTTTCTTACCTACTTACCTTACCTTACCTAGGTACCTACCTGATTACACTTTGACTTTACTCGAGTGCATCATCCGCTCCTTCGTCTGACATGTTCTTCGAAACGAAATATCCACTGCAGCAAACACGTCGACAGCAACAAGACAGACTCGCATCCCAACAGGACCTAGCTTCCCCCTAATCCCCTTACCCGCAGAGCCCCACCTTTAGGCTCTCTCTTCGCTGGTCCGCTCGCGCTGATTGGCAGGCGCATACTACCTGGGAAGGTTGCACGATGCCACGCTCGTCACGTGTGATTGGCTCACAGCTCAAGACCAGCAACAGGCGACTTCGAAGCTCTGGCAGGACCGCGACTAGACCACCCACCAACAACCAAGCCGAAGCCCGACCCCAGACCTGCGCTGCCTCGACCGACGACTCTCTTGCCCGCACGATTCTGTCGCAGCATCTCGGCAAAAGCGATGACCCGAGAGGCCACGAACAAGGGAACCGTTCGCCTCCTGGCTCGCCGTCAATGCCTAGTCGTCCGGGGGAGCTTCCTGTTGAATCGGACTCGGTACGCAGCGCAGACTACGATCCAGAACAAATAGACAGCCAAGGCTCAGAGGAAGGGGATTTCTGGCCAATTGTTGGCATCGTTAAGGAAAGGAGGAGAAACAAGAAGCTATCCTACCTCGTTCGCTGGGCTTCGGATCCCCAAACTGGACAGGAGTTCCCTCTACAGTGGGTATGTTGGACGCCTGCGCAAGCTCCTGACAAACACGGTGCTAACACGAAGTACAGATTTCTGCCGAAGGTGTTACGGAAGCAGCTATTGAAGAGTGGGAATCTGAGAAGGCACAGGCTCAGGATCAAAAAACACGGGCGCGAAAGACCACGACTACCAACAAGAGCACCTCTCGAACGTCCGTAGTCGCAACCGCAGCGACAACTACGGCGGAAACACCAATCGCCTCGCCACAGTCCGTTGATAGCAGCCAAGAAGTTCTTCCAGCCAACCGTCGGAAGAGGCCACGTCCCCTTGACAGCCGTGCCCGCTCGTCTTCGGTTGCCGATTTCCTCCCTGGCCTCACGGCTGACGACGTGCGCGCATCCAAGCGTCCGAGGCTCAGTGTTGATCTGTCTTCACTTCCTTCCTCGGAAGCATACACACCAGAAGCTTTGGACAACTTCGAAAGACCGAACACCAGTAGTATCTTCGTGGAGCTTCCGAGCAAGGCCGCCATCGACACCTCCCAGTACCACAGCTTTCCTGAGTCTTCCCAACAGACTGCAAACTCGCACTCTCAATCATTGTCCGCCCTGGAAGAACTCGACGCGCAAATCACGCTCGAATCCGCATTTCAGAGCCAAGAAACCATCCCGGACTCCCAGGACTGGCTTGACGATACTCAGACAGGCTCTTCTTCTCAAGCCCTTTCAGTGTCTCAAACTGTTCCTCGCCCCCGGTTCGAGGTTCCCGACTCTCAGAAGGACTCCAGCTTGGAAAAGTCCATCGTCCCCAGTCAGTCTCTTGTCGATCCATCAACGGGTGACGCTTCGCGAACACTGGACCCCGAAATTCCTTCGCACCAGCCCGACATCGAAGATACGAGAGAACAGGCCGACGAACAGCATAGCTCTCTGAACGAACTTGTCGAAGAGTCTCATAAACCAGCATCCCCAAAGTTCTTTTCGCAGCCAGATTTCGGATTCGATCTTGAGTTGATTGCGAGCTCCACGCTAGATTCCCGAGAGGTTGTACCTGAGTCTAGCTCTGGTGGACCTTTGCCTTTGACCCAACCCCAGGAACAACTAGAATTTGCCGGTTCACACGCGCTGACGGTTGTCGAAGTTCCTCAGAGCCAGGACGTCCTTACCGAGCAAGCGGCACAAATCGACCCGGCGCAGGCTAGCATTGCGGTGAGCCAAGTCACCTGCGACAGCAGTTCGCCCGATAACGTCGTGCCAGACTCAGTCGTGCGGAGGGCCATCTGCTCTGACCCCGAAACATCCAGCTCTCGACCAGCTAATTCCTCCAAGATGAGCGGAGTTGCGCCAGATGAAGACGACCCGGTCGCTTTGCTTCTTGATGCGGCTGCGGGGCAGCAAAATGCGGAATCTTCGGCGCCTATATCCGAGTTTCCGGACGTCAATGACCTGTTCGACTTTATCGGCTCCTCCAATCGAACCAAACTTCCGGCCGAAGATGTAAATCAGGAGATGACGGATTCGGGAGAGACTGAAACGATCTTGCCAGGTGCCGTGCCAGTTGCTAACGACATATTGTTGTCGGCGCCGGAACCTGCTTCGCTTCCGCTGATGCCTGTCATGGATGAGCTGCAGGGGGCCGTCAACGAATCCGATCTTGAGATCGCGACATCGACTGACATGTCTGGCGCCCTTCTTCAACCCGAACCTGTACCCGAGGTCTTTCCGGCAACCATTTCTCCCTCAGAAATTAGTCGAACGATAGAACCCGAAAGTCTGATGCAGGGCCCCCTCGAGCCTCCGACGATGTCTATCGAGGCTGTGGACCCCGAAATCACTTCTTCACCATCATCAGAGGTCCCAGTCTCGGGTCAATACTTGGTGACCTTACCCCTTCCTGCGAACATGAAAGAGGTGTACCTCAACACCATTCTTCGATACCGGCGTGAAATTGAAGCGTTCAACAACCAGCAAAGCAACGAGGGTACTCCGCCAGATGCGCAACTATCGGCCCAGATCGACCGATTCTTTGGTGATCTGTTCGATATTTGCGACCACCCAGCATCGCTTGGCGCCGATGAACTTCGTCAGCTTGATACGACCGATATACAGAAGCATGCCATGGGTACGAATAGTAAATTCTACTTTGTTGGCCGACTTTTGGAACGCCTAGCCTACACTGATAAGAAGGTCCTGATCATCGCACGAAGCCAGAAGCTGCTCGGGTACCTGCAAGCAATCATCGGCACCATAAATCCCAGCGATCGTGAGGAATCTGAGCTCGTTGTTCAGCTTGCCCATGCTGAACAGGATGTGGACGCCCTCGCCTTCGATATTGTCATTGGGTATGACTCTGCCTACGCCGCATCTGTAGCTTCGCAGCAGGTGGAGCAAGCTGAGCCCAGCAAGAAGCCAGTCGTGATCAGTCTGGTCATCACGTACTCAATCGAGCATTTTGAAGTGGTCATTCCAACAGATTTCGGGGATCTTGACCGCAAGAACGCACTCTTGATCTCTATTTTCCAGAGCCGAGCAGTTTTGGCCAATCACGGCGACCAAGACGTGGAGAGGGTTGTGGCGGAATTCGCAGAGCACCTCCGTGATCCCGATCTTGCATTTGATTGGGAACCAGAGTTGATCCCCAGCGATCTCCTGGACTTTTACGATAACGCGCAGAAAAGCCAGACGCAACCTCAATCCCAGCTCGAAGCCCGTCAAATCTCTGCCCTCAAGCGCAAGCACGATGGGCCACCTGTCGGGTCACCGAAACGCTTGCGCCGCTCGCAATCAGTGGCACAGACGCCCGCCGAACTTGATAGTACAGTCCGAGAACTGATTGACCCAGATCCAGCCAAGGAGCAGGTCATGTTAACTCGGGCGGCATGGGGGGCTCTCACGCAAAAGGTAGGCCACGCACGGGTTGTTTGTAGCACTGCTCACAAGAACCATTGACTGACTCTCTCCAGAACACTGAATTGGAATCCCAATTAAGGGATAAAGATGAGCTCGAGGCTATCACTCGCAAGCAGATCACGCGGATGTCGAAACAGATTAAGAGCCACGAGTCAACAGCCAATGTGATCCAGAAACAGCACATGGCTGCTCTGAGCGAACGTGCAGGCTTTGAGAAGGAGCGAAACCAGGCCGTCGAGCAAGAACAGGCGGTTCGTGCGCGTCTCGCGGAGCGGGACGCTACGATCCTTGCGCTCCAAGCGAGGCTGGAACAAGCGGCGTCCAAAGACAGCGTGCTCGCCGGGCTCGACGAGAAGAGCAAGGAGCTCAGTGCTGCGCGGGAAGAAATACGTCTTCTGGAGAAGAAGTTGAAGAGCAAGGAAAGCGACTTCGACTTCGCGAGAGGTCAATACCAGGATGAGCGGCAGCACGTCAATGACACCATGCAGGAGAACAAGGAGCTTAGAGAGCAGGTTGCGCAGCTCAAGCAGCAGTTCTCGGAAAGCCTCGTCAAGATTCAGAAGATCAACGCGGACAGCAGCCAGAAAGATCTCCAGCGATTAGTAGTGGAGGCGCAGACGCTCGCCAAGGACCGCGAACGAGAGCTCGAGCGCACCCGCGAAGAGCTCAGGTCGCTGAAGAATGGGCGACGCGAAACGCGTGGGACGAGTGTTCCCCGGAGCCCGCGAATGGGCGTCATGACGCCGCGTAATGGACGCGGGGGCTTGAGCACGCTCGGTGCATCAGCAGGCGCTACGCCGGGTAGCAGAGGGACGTCGCCATCTCACGTCGTCGAGACGCCTGCGCCACCGCCGCCGCCTCCCTTGTTTGCGGCGTCGTCTGCGGCGAATGGGCGGTTCAATCATTTACGGGACCGGCTTTGAGTAAGGCAAGGACGCCGTGTTGCTGTCGTCCTGTGATGCAACATTATTGAGTAGAGGAAACGGATCATGACGGTGCCGTTTTGACGAGAGCTTCCGAACTAGCTTCGTATTATGATACCACGCGAAAGATTGTGGACAGAAGTATCTCCTTTCTGTTTTGTTATTTTCTAGGGAGCTATACATGGTCCAGGCACGGTACAGCATGCATTCTTCGCCGGGTTTACCGGTGGTCCTGGGCGTTCTAGGGTAGTCAGTCAGTCTTATCTATTGTTTTTCCAGTCTGAGTCACAATGGTGGTGAGATGCTGTCCATGGAACCCAGACACAGTCGATCAGGTTCGTGTCGTTGCAGACACCGAATCCTTAGGCAAATTTGTGGTCAGCATGGTCACAGGACACAGTCAAGCTCCGCAGACATGACAGTGTCGAGACAAGGCAGGGATTAACAGTCAGGCAGCGTTGGCCCAATTGTCGAGCGCAAAGATAACTCCCCGTTCTTTTCTATCAGCCAAAGGTTCACAACACGACGCAGGCAAGCCCGAACTGGCGTCTTTCTGGTCTTAGCCTCTAGTAGTAGAATATACAAAGCCGTCACACGAGCATTCCCCCTTCAGACGATCGCACATACAGCTCCCTCTCCCCCGTGACAGCTGACCTCATCTCACCAGACTCGAACCTCATCCATACAGATGGTCCAGTCCCCTGTCGCACCCCCTCAGAACAACCGCATTGAGCGAGCCTAGAGAGAGAGAGCAGCGGCAGAAAAGACCAGGAGGCGCGGCCGACACGCGCCCTCACAGACGCAGGCAGCGAAGCACGCGCGCGCGCGCGCGGCGTTTACTGCTGCTGCTGCTCGGGGTAGATGTCCTCCTTGAGGGAGAGGCCGAGCTCTTCCCTCAGGGGCTTGAGCTCGGCGAGGTACTGCTCGTACTGGCCCTTGTTCTCGACCTTGGCCTTGACGCCCTCGAAGACGCGGACGGCGGTGGCGAAGTCGTTGACGCGGCGGGCCGCCTTTAACGCGGCGGCGACGACTGTGGGGGAGGGGACGAGGTCGTAGGCGAAGGCATTGTTGAGGTTGCGCTGCAGGATTGGGGGTTTCGCGTTAGCCGTCATTCCATTCTTTGGAGGGGGTCGTTGGTGGGAATGTGTCGACTCGTGGGTGGTGGTTGTGTTTCTTTCTGTGATCAGACCACTTTTATACCCCCCCGGCCGGGGTACTGGGGATTGGGCGGGTGCGAGAGAGAGAGAGAGAGAGGTCGTTCTTACCTGGAGCTCGAAAACGTCGTTGACGGCGTCGAATTCCTTCTCGAACCTGGCGGTAGAAAAATGGTCAGCGGAAGCTCGATGCAATTTGAGTGCATTGTGGTGATGGCGCGGTCAATTGAGAGGACGGCTGTCGCGATGGTCTGCTGGTGGCATCGAGGGAGAGAAAAACGCTCCTTTGCCGAGGAGCCGCAGCAGACTGAACGCGACAGTGCAGTCATCGGCCTGCCCAATTGACCGTCGAGAGGAGGGCGAAAATGCGGCGTACCTGGCAGAGAACTCCTCAAAGGTCTCCTCCTGGTGCTCGGAGCGCCTGGCAGGGACGGTGCTGAAGTGGGAGGCCGAGCCGGCAGCCATGGGGAGGAGGACGGCAGCGCGAGCGGCGAGGGGGGCGGAGCGGACGACGGGGTTGGCGTTGAAGAAGCCGCGGCGGGCAGCGACGCGAAGGAGAGCGGCAGACATGGCGACGGTGTGGGGGACGGTGGTCGTCGTGATTAGAGAGATGGTGGTGGTGGTGGTGATGGGTGGTCGTTGTGGTTGGGAGTGGTAGGTGGTGGATCGAAGTTGTTCCGGTTTTTTTGCGTTCAGGTAAGGTTCCACGATGCCGGGCTCGGGGGACCAGAGTCAGCTTTTGGTTGGATCGAATGATGTCGGTGCCAATTGTATTTGGGTGCAGGGGGGGGAAGGATTGGATTCTGCGGCCTTTTGATTGGATGACTAATCTACGCTTGCCCTCATCGGGGAGCTCTGCCCCAGACAGTGCCGTGTCAGTGTGATGGAGCTGTCCTTCGGGGGCTTCCAGGGGGTTTGCAGTGGATGCTCTACAGTGCAGTTGACGTGCAAGCCCTGGAGCTGGAGTCGCTGCATCAGTAATCAGGTGTGACCAGCTGTCCTCAGGTAGGTAGGTACCTTTAAAGGTAAGGTACATTTAAAGGTACCTTACCTAGGTACGCTCTTGTAGTGTGAGAGCGGACCTGACTCGACTCGACCTCTCCCTCAATTCCCTGACAGACACCGACGGCCACGTATGAAAACCCCGAAATGCATGCCACACTGCGCGGTCAGTCGCCTCACTGACTACACTGACCAGACAGTATGGGCTGGTTTGGTTGTCTTTGGTCTTAGTAAGCCAAGCCGCTTGGGTAAGATGTTTGCAGCTTCATGCCCTTGGGTTCAGTTTGTTGGGGACCAATTGAAGACATTGTCGAGGACAAACCCTCCGTCACTCCTGTTTATCTTCTCCATTTTGGCTCCTCCGTTTTGGCTCCTCCTTTTTGACCTCCCCGCCCGGACCTCTCGGGACTGGACACGATGTAATTGATGGGCTATGAGGACTGCTGGGACGTTCCGCGGTACTGTGCTATTTAACGTGTACTTCAGCTCTGCAGGAGGAGGAAAACCCAAATGCTCCAACTCCAATGCTCCAATGCTCTTTGTTGACCGACCGAGGCTGTTTTCCCCAAGCGAGCCCCCTGTATCGCGCGCGCGCTGACGTCGTCCTGCCGTCGCACATGAAGACACGGAGATTGCAGTACAGTCGGGCAGACAGAAAGTACCGAGTACTTGTAGCACTGCTTTCGCCGCCGGCCGCCGAGGTGGCAGGTCACGTGCTGCTGATGAGCCCCTCAGCAGCGACCCAGGCGAGCGACCAATCCTCTGATGTCCCATTGGCCAGAGGGCCTCGACAAGCTCATCACATGCAGAAGTATAGCTCATTTCCTGCTTGGGCCTGGTCAACCCCATTCCCAAGGAGCCCCCAAGACCCAAGTACCAAGTACAAGCACGTCTTTTGGGGGGGGGGAGGGCCGGCTTGGCCGCTGGTCGCTGCCGCGACTCGACAACGGGCGCTGAACCATTGGTCGGGCTTGGGATTGGCTTTCTGGAAAAATCCCGTCCACGTCCCCTTTTCGATCGCCAGATGCCTTTTTCTCTCCACGATCCCCTTCCCTTTTCATCCCACTTAACCTTCTTCCCTTTCACTCCCTTCCTCCCTCTCCCCCCCCCCTTTTCCTCTCCGTATCGACTCCGTCCTTTGGGCTCGTTGCGGACACACTTTGTCTCTTCCTTCTCGTCACTCCTTAGGGTTCGCCTTGTTCTTTCCCGCGCCTACGCCTCTGGCCTTTGCGCAATCCCGCATACTTTCCGTCTGGTCGTGGACATAATACGCGTCTCGTCGCGCTCCATCCCGACAACTCACAAGACCACATATACCAACCTCGGCCACTCGCGCCCCCGTTCCTCCATCCCTCACAATGGCGTCTGTTACTCCCACCACCTTTTACGAGCAGCTCCCGCTCCCCACCATCGACCGTCCCTTCGGCATCGAGCTGTGGCCCATCTTCGACAAGGCATGGACCGCCGTCGTAGGTTATCCCACCAGCGAGTTCCGCTTCAAGCAGGGTGACACTCCCATGTCCACCCTCAAGGAGACCCTCATCTTCATCGTCATCTACTACACCATCATCTTCGGTGGCCGTGAGTGGATGCGCAACCGCGAGCCTTTCAAGCTCAAGACGCTCTTCCTGATCCACAACTTTTATCTTACCGCCATCTCCGGCATACTTCTGGTCCTCTTCGTCGAGCAGCTCCTGCCCACCGTCGTTCGCGGCGGCGTCTTCCACGCCATTTGCGACAAGGAAGGTGGCTGGACTCAGCCTCTCGTTGTTCTCTACTACGTACGTCTACAAATCGTCCAGCGTCGGCCGGCGTCGTCGGCCGACTTTGTTTTACAACTGGGTGCATGCGCTGACACGTAATCTCTTCCCCAGTTGAACTACCTGACCAAGTATCTCGAGCTCCTCGACACATGCTTCCTTTTCCTCAAGAAGAAGCCCCTGAGTATGTGCAGCTGCCCCTTATTTGCCGCTGCCAAGTGAGACACGTCGATCCCGTCACTAACCGGCTCACAGCCTTCCTCCACTGCTACCACCACGGCGCGACCGCCTTCCTGTGCTACACCCAGCTCATCGGCTCTACCGCCGTCTCTTGGGTCCCCATCACCCTGAACCTGACCGTCCACGTCGTCATGTACTGGTACTACTTCCAGAGCGCCCGTGGCGTCCGTATCTGGTGGAAGGAGTGGGTCACTCGTCTCCAGATCATCCAGTTCATCATTGATCTCGGTATGTACAAACCTCGTGGCCACAAAAGTATCGCCATGCTGACTGTTGCGCCAGGCTTCGTCTACTTCGCCTCGTACACCTACTTCACCTCGACCTACTTCCCCTGGATGCCCAACGCCGGCAACTGCGCCGGAGAGGAGTTCGCTGCCTTTGCTGGTATCGGAACTCTCAGCTCCTACCTCGTGCTCTTCATCTCCTTCTACGCCGCCACCTACAAGAAGGACGGCAAGAAGACCACCACCCGCAAGTCCCTGCGTCGCATGTCCCAGGCGCCCCTTCCCGACCCTCACAACATTGGCTCGCCCAGCAAGGTCGTCAACGGCTCTGCCTCGACCACTGGCGCCAAGGCCAGCGGTGGCACTCCCCGCTCGCGCAAGGCTTAAGCGTATTGCTTCGAGATTCCGGTGCTATGCCTCGATTTCGGCGTATGTGATCATGGGGAGGTGCAGCGCCATGTGACGACAGCCCTGGGACTGGGTCATGGACTCGGATCTCCAATTGGGAATTGGTCCAGCCCGCAAACTCTTTCTGAACAGTTGCGAGCTGTCAAACACGACCGACCAACTCAATTCAATGGCCTGGAACAAAACAGTTTATGGAGAGGGGGTGGGCGGCCGTTTGGCTCATGTCGAGCGTGTACGGTCCTGATGACGACGCGGGCAGCTGACGACCTTTGTATATGTTTGTGTACCTTAGGCGAACAGGACGGCAAGGAGGGGGGGTCTTTGGGTTGGCAGGCAGGCAAGATTACACGTCACGAAGAGGCCGTAGAAGAAGGGGGAGATCCCTGGAGCAGAGCAGCAAGCCTGGGCTTTTTTTTGGGAGGCCTGCGCCCTGCATGGGAACCCCCCTTTTTGGTAAAGCCTTTGTAATAACTTTTGTCTTTGTCTTATTGTGGTAGAAGTTGTAGCGGGTGACGCCGTGAATGATAGTAATCCATTTTTCTGTACTTCGCTTGGCTGGTGTGTCTATATGTGGTATACATTCAGGTGGTCACGCATGGCGTGTTGGTGCCGTGATATTGGGTCGCCAATGTCACATCGTAGACTTAGGACCCTTGTTCGCATGCGTCTGCGCAGTCATGAGGTCGGAAATCGCATACTTCCAGGAATACGGGTCTGCGATGGGCTAGGTAGTTATATGGTATTCTTGAGCGTTGCCCGCGTAGGTTGCGGCATCGCGTTCCGGGTGCTTGTATACAACCCTGGCCCATTATGCGAAAGACTGTAGTTTGTATAAGGGTACGCAACATAGGTTGAGCAGGGTGAGAGGTGAGCTTTTGTTTAGAGGATATGCTTCGCGGTCGATTACTGACATCGGTGTTTTGGGGGCTTGGATGACTGATTGTTTGATGCAGCACAACAGATGTTATTGTTTAATCTATGGGAACACTCAGGCCTTACCCCAGATCTATCTAAATAGGCAGTTGAACTGATTGAGTGCCTAAATTAACAAGCACAAGGCCTTTAGGTCACTCCCCCTCCTTGGATATCGTCCTGGACCAGACAGGCTACTGACCAGTCTAGGTTGCTATGCACCGCAGCCGAAAGGGTGACATCTTATACATGGCTCCGGGCTTGGTATTGGAATGGAAATACTCTGCTGTCCAGGATTTTGTGAGTGAGAGTCTGGTTTGTATGACAATGCTCCGAGCTGAGGCTTGTCTGGGGATGCTTGGCATGATGCCTGCGGTCATATTTTGCTTTGCTACGAGTGTGTACATGAAGAAATCGCGATGAACTAAATAATTTCTCTTTAAGACATGCCGATACTTTGTTTAGGCTTAAAATTTGGTCTCAGATGTCCAGTCGTTGACATGATACATAACAACATACTGCGCACTCTGCCGATGGCGGCTGCCATCTTATCTCCATGCTCGACACGACCACGTAACTACGCAAGCCTGTGCAACCATTATATATGTGTATCTGAGTTCTAGCAGAGTGACTCATTACTCAATCCAAATAAAGTCCGATGCCGGACAATTTAAGCATGCGTTGTCCAAGTTTATTCAGATCATACACCAGGCTGCGTTGCTGTGCCATACTACCTCATCCAGGCATGACAAAGTATCCAAACAGCTTGGTACGCAAATCATTGGAATTTAACATAGAATACAGAGACAACCCTTGGTTCGTTCACTTTGTTGTCCTGGCTCTGCCTCCGCCTGGACTCTTGATAGTCTAGGGAGCGTCACTCACTCTTGATATACCACAGAAACTGTGTCTCCTAGCACATACGACCATACCTACTGGAATGCTCGGGATCCCGTCCGCTCTCCCATCGATAAACCAGTAAGGGCCGAACCAGTAGTTGGGTGGGTGACCACCAGCGAATCCTCGGTGTTGTATGTTTTTGGGGATTCCAACCTATTTTTTTGAGGTTGGACACGAGCTGTGTAGATGTGCGTTTGTCACCGAAGTGAAGCCGGCCTGTTAAGATGCCACACTCTCAATAGCGTCGAGGGTCTCTCATTGAGCACGAGTGAATATAGTAGCTGTCAGTAGGAAGGCCATGTCTTCGTTCGGCTGGGGTGCGTTCTGCTACTCCTAACAGCGGCCTTGACGAGGACGACATGGCTTCGACGGCATATATGAAACCTTGGCTACAGGATACAATAAACCACCGTGCTAAATAGCTCGTATTTGGGTTGAATGACTTTAATATGTTATGACATATGGTTATTGCACCTGGTCTAGGCGTTGTTTTTTCGTTGATCTTGGTCTCATATTACATGCCCGTGATTGCACATTTAATAACAAGCCAAGCATCTCCACACCCTCTGAAACAAAAGACAACCATGGAGACTCAATAGTATCTTCGTCAGACATCATCAATCAAGTGGCTGCGGTTCTTCTCTATTGTGACCGGGAAAACGAGTATGTGATATTCGTACTGGTAGCACCATACCTATTACACCGGCGGTCATGGCGACCAATGAGAGAATGTCACAAGAGCCGCAAGACAAGCCTGTTGCCCACAACATGTGTGATATCCAGGCGTCGTCAAACACGCCGTAATATCACAGCCACTCAACTACTAAATGGACCTGTCAAGATGTCAGTCTGGCGAGCAGCAGAACCTGGAGCACTTGCTTCGCAGTCGTGCCGCAACGTCAAACCCCCACACCCATCAAGGGATGCCTTTGCAGTCCGGATGATGCCTCCGCGGCGAGACCGACCACTTGACGAACGTGGTTCGACAGGCAGCCGAGGGGAGCAGCCACTCCCGCACCAAACTCATCTCGACCTCTCTAGCCTCCAGGCCATGCCCTGTGGTCACTGTTCTTGCCTATTTGGGAGGCTGCGAAGCGATGTCGGGTTGGTCTGACGCTATCCGCTATTGACGAACGATCGCCAGCCAAGGGGAACAAAGGGGAGGAAAATGCTCGCCCTACCACTTCGGGCATGTACTGACCCCATCAGCCTCAAAGAAGCCGCGTCCACGTTCCAGGCCGCCACCGCCCTCCCTCGGCCAACCATCTTTCAGCACCAATGTGCCGGATCCGGCGCAACCAGCTCACTCGGGAGGGGGAGACCTGGGGCCCGACATGAAAGACGCCTCCCAAAGGGTCCCGACCACCTGGATTTTCCCCTCTACCGCACGGGAAGCCCATCCCCCATCCGCAGATGATCGACCAGCGGCGCTCGCCGGTTGGGGGGGGTGGATCCCCCCTCTCAAAGACAAGCGCTTTTAGAGTTTGGCAGCCGCCCCCATCTTCAATAAGCCTCAGGGCAGCTTTCACACGGCTCGATCACGCTTCCTTGTTCAGTCCCGCTAGAAT